CAGTGAATAAGGAAAAAAATGCGTATCAATAATGACAAAACCTGCTCCGACAAATCCTGAGCATCGAGTTTAAGGAGGGAAATGATATCGACCGCTGATTTTGCCGACGACTTCTCGTACGTCCACTCTTATACACGAGTCCGGTTCTCATTGTACGGGAAGGGACGGGGCCGTCGGGGCGGGAGTACGGGAGGCCGGCGCCCAACTGGCTTGGGGCCTTCAGTCCACATGGCAAATCAACCAAAAACCGTTCATTGTTAATCCCCATTGATCAATCAGGTTTTTCCTTTATCTATCTGAAACATGCAAGCAAAGTGAGAACATCTTTCGTTTCTCGGGGCAAGCTAGAGAGAGAGAGAGAGAGAGAGAGAGAGAGAGAGAGAGAGAGAGAGAGAGAGAGAGCTTACAATAGTCTATGGTTTCGCCCAGAAAATTTCATACAGTGATCGTAGGGGCGATACCTACATCAAGTGGGACATAGCTAGTGATCACTGCATGCAGGTCGTACGTGGCGCCCTACTTCTTTTTAAGAAGGTAAATCGCTTCCCGGGTTTGTGAAACGAGGGCAAGCCGCAGAAGGTATGCGGAACGTATTCGGGAGTGAAGACCCGCTCGGAATCAAATCATCATCAGATCTAGACACTCTTGCATTCTCGAACAAAATCCCAACAATATTGTTCTAGCCAACAACTCAACCTAAACCCACTCGCCATAGCCCTTGAGCCGAATCAAAGACCAAATCACCAATGGCAAAGCATTTGCAATTACTCGTCGCGGAAGGTACAAAAATGGCAGCCATACATTGTCAAGTGCTCCATGTGCTGTGCAACCCCGGCCTGTTACTCCAAGTCTAATCAAATCATCGACCTATCAGGCAACCATTCTCAAACATGCATAACCATTCACATTAGAAGATGAGCGAGCGAAGTGAACTCCATAGAGAATAATCACATAGAAGTCTGGATACGAAAAAAGTTTCCGGCTTAACTGCCGCGAAGTTACATTCATACCAAAGAATAGGACAGAGACAAAGGGGCGCATCCGCCGTAACGTTCCACCATGGCCCCGGGCCCTTCATCCATCCAACTCATGTCACTCTTCATACCTGCACCGACGACCCCGACCGTCGCGTGCCACCTGCCACCATTGTGAACGTTACCCCGCCGACTTAGTTTCTGCGTGGGCTTGCCATGATCCCACACTCCGTCGTGGCGATCAGGCCCACAGCCAGCCAGTCTACAGTCAGCCCGTCGAGACTTTTCGACTCGCACCACATGCACACCATCTAGCCACTGCTTCCCGGCCTACGTCTATCCATATTCCTACAAGATTCCCAGAGTTTTCCATGTCGAGGCCGAGAACATTCGCGCGTAAAAGGACAAGTAGCGTCCCGTTAATTCCAGAATTCCTAACTGTCGAGCCAAATATTGACCGCGCTCACTAAGGCGCGCGTAATTCCCATGCATTTCCAAATTGCAAAAATGACGGAATTTCAAAAATACACATTCCAGCGAGGTACCTTTAATCGAGAAAAAAAAGGACAGGGGGTGGAGTCTTCAAGGGCCGAGCAGGACACATCTTGATGCAAATAAAACACGGCAAGGGAAGGGGTCCTAAAAGATGGCGCAGGTCCGGAAGATGGTTCGTTGCAGCTACGGTCCATATTTTTGGACGCTACGGTCCATATTTTTGGACGCTACGGTCCAATTTTTTGGATGGACCTCGGTTGGAGCGACGTGGCACATTCAAGCCGACCAGCAGAGGACCTAGGAGTTCGCGAGCACTGCAGATAGGGAGGCTAGCGCAAGCTGTTAACCTCGCGAACTTGGAGTCTGACAGCATTCACGACGTGTCTTCTGACAGAGGTCGTGTGGGTGCTGTGCGGCGACTCATTCACGAAACGAAGTCGTTTTTTTTTCCGTTTTGTGCACTGTGCGGGGCCTCGCTACACCACTCTTGAAAACTCCTTTTCTCTTGACACTTGGGGCAGTCAAGAGCTGTCAGAGTGGCTCTTGAAACATTGGAATGCATGTGTTTCCAAGCGTCCTTGGCCGAACCCTTGACGGACTTTCGATTTTCAAGAGTTGTCATGTCGTTATCCACCATGCGAAAAAAAACAAAGTTGTATGACTGTCGTTTTTCATCCTGTGTCCAACGGCATCGAAAGGGGGAGTGCTGTGTGGCGAGGGGCCAAAAAATCTTGAAAACCCAACTCTTGAGAACGTCTGACAATCCGGGTTTCAAGAGTGGTGTGGCGAGGCCCTAAATCGGGAAATTTGAGAAGAGTGGTCTAGAGAGTGGGTCTTACTAGGGGGCATCCCTGAGAACCTGCAAATCAAGATGGGCTGGGGATAGGTGACCCAAACAGCCACAGCCGCTGCCATCGAGGTGATCTGTTTCGAACGAAACAGCAGAGTCTTCAAGAAACGAAACACCAGAGTCTTCAAGAAGAGAGAGCTCTGCAACAGAGAGATCCGTCACCGGTTCAAATTAAACCTGAGAAGATCTATCCAAGCCGACTGGAGAAGGAAAGGATGTGCATCAGCTGGACCACGAAGATCTTGGTTCCAGAAGACTTGGTGTGTATGTGAGCACCTAAGCAGTGTTTCTAAGGAGGGGAAGCTGGCGTTGGGGCAATCATTCTATTTAGATTAGCTTGCAGTCATACCAGGGCACTCTGTTCGCAGGCCGCAGTGGGCAGGCAGAGGAGGACACAGTGGATGGAGGGAGTGTCAGTACAACTTTCGCAGGTCCCAGAGGACCTGGTCTGTCGAAGTTAGAGGGGGGGGGGGGGGGGGGGGGGGGGGGGGGGGGGGGGGGGGGGGGGGGGGGGGGGGGGGGGGGGGGGGGGGGGGGGGGGGGGGGGGGGTTCCCGGGGTTGAGGATCATTCAGAGCAGGGGTCTCACACTGGAGAATTCTGCTTCTGGAAAATGAGAATGAACTTCCTCCTAGGACATGGCCAGGTGCACCCGCCACAATTTTGTCTTTTTCCCGTTTCGAGAGTGGTGTGGTGAGGCCCTCACTCTCGTTTTGCACTTTGTTCATTTGTTTTTTTTTAATGTTCTTCTCTCAATTTCACCTCACACTACCTACCTACCACTACTCCTAATTGTAGGCATACGGGGAACCCCGTAGCAGCCAGAACCGTCTTCACGAGAGAACACGCGGGGGCTGCTACCTGCAGGTGGGCTATACCAGCTAGGGGACAGCCAGTAGCATCAGGGACCATGCCAAGAGGACCAATCCCTGTAGTGGAGCAAAAAAAAAAAAGGAAAAAAAGAGTAGTGGAGCAAGGCGCTGATCCCACAATACACAAAAAGAAAAGAAAACACGAAAGTCCCTAAAAAGAAGGCACCGGGTAGGATGCGGCGGAAAACCAAACTCGGACCCCACACGAACACCATCCGCGATTCCGCGGGTCTTTCCCAAGGACTGCGGCAGGATTTTTTGGCCTTCCTGGCGCACCCTATGGCCTGGCATTCCCAAGTGGGTGACACAGCATCTGCCAACGACCAGGAGAGAGTGGAACCAGGCCCATTTTCACCACGGGCCGACATAGAAAAGGCCGACTCATTTTCAGGGCAGCTTTTTCGGTAGGGGTAGGGGTGCTCGAGCTTTCCATTCTGTGTAGGACTTCATGCCACAAAAATCGAAAACGTACCCTTAACAAAGAGCGCCCTCCTACATGGGAAAGTTGTGGGATCCACATTTCTCAACAAAATTCTCCAGTTTACCCACTGTCGGATCAGAAGCTAAGGCCTGGACCCCACAGGACAAAATCGTGGAAAAGTCCTGGAAAAGATGGCCTGGAAAAACTTTTTCGGGATTACATCGGAAGAAAATGGCCGTCTGGAAACTCAATTGTGGGAGGTTTCGGCTGTTTTCGGAGACCCCACCGCGTCGGAAAGGTTGTCCAGAAAAGTGGAGTTCCGTGTTTTCACTTTCGTTTTGTGGTGTCGTGGTGGCAAGCGAGCATCTTGCGCCGGAATTTTGTGCCATTTCGAGAGGGTAAGGGGGGGGGCATCTCTCTCGTGGAAAGTTTTTCTGGAAAGTGTTGTTCCAACCGTGGTCCGAGCCTGCACGTCCCGTAGTCCTTCCGGTCGGTAGACAGACGTTCTGTTGTCACCCACAAATGACTCCCCGCCAAAACGACTGCTGGAGGAGCGGCCGGCGCCGCCGGTTTTTCGAATTCGAATTCGAAAACAACTGCCGATTCTACGAGGATGGGCGTCAAGCCGGCCGTTGTCCAATTTGCATGCCGTGCAGACAGCGGACGTCCCTAGGTGCGTGTGTGCACAGCGGGGTGAAAATCCTGCTCCCCCAAGTCCCGCGGACTGCCTCCTCCATCCGCTGCCATGCGTTCCATCGCCAGCGTGTTTCGTCGAAGCATCGCTAACTGCGTCGACGTCCATGGCCTCCGGCGGTGTGTACCACCGGTTATGAACGGGCGAGTGGCTGCGCAGAGGCAATGCAAGTCCTTCATGATCCGGGGAAGGACAAATGTCGTTGCACAGCCGCTGGTGTTCGTCCGTCGATTCGCCGTTCCTCCGGTATGTGCTTCCAAGGTGTCGACTTTACCATTTCGGAAATCGCACTGCCTGACGAACGTCTTGCCGGCTTTCCGACCCACCACCGTCCCCGCGCTGCCATCATGTCCTCCTTGGCAGATGCTGTCAGTGGTAGATGGTGTTGCTGACACTGCATGTCGGTCCCCCTTGGCCATCTCCAAAGATCGGCATACCATCCTTGTGACGAGCAGCGGGGAAGCAGTCCCTGCGAGGCAGCGCACGGTCCGCGAGTGCACGGACTGCCCTCCGACACAACGACCGGTGGTGATCATCGTTTTGTGCGAGCCCGACTGCAGTCGGCGGTCAGTGGCCGGCCAAGCCATCGCGGGGGTCGTCGTCGTCCTTTGCATGCTCCTTTGTTTGGCCGGCATAGCCATGTTCTCTGACCGTGTGCTTGATCGCCGCTCTGCGGTTCATGTTCTGACTTGGAGAGGGTGAGGAGGTGCAGCTGCTTGCAAAGAGGCCTCCCGGGCGTGAAGTATGGAAGGACGCCGATTCACCTCCGAGCTTATGGGGGAGTATGACGACGCCATGGATTCTGATCGGTCAGGTGTAGAGGACATCGCTGGCACTCAGATGGACCGGATTGGAGGTGTGCAGCGTGGCTCGGCACGGCAATGGCCGCGCACGCCGTTCAGCAACGAGGGTTTTCAGCCCAGTGCACAACAATGGCAGTACACATCGGCTCCACCTTCGAGCCGAGGAGGGCAAGCGGGAGGTGGAGCACTGAGCAGGAGGGGGTGGTGGTGGTTCTTCCTCCTTGTATGCTCGCCGAGCAGTGCAGATGCATGACGAGTCCATCGGTGTTTACCCGCCTGGCGAACTGCCGTGTAGCGCGTGGGGAGGGGCGGTAGGCAACGACGATCCATCCACTGCATGGGCACCTGGGAGTTCGCAGGGTATGGCGCATTCCCCATATGGATCGGTCATGTCATGCGGTGTTGCAGGTCCACGACGCTCGTCGCCGGGTGGAGGAATAGAGAACGTCGTGATGGCAGATCACACGGAAAGACAATTGCACGTTCCCGCAAATGCTTGTCCACAGCCCCAAACCATGCGCGCTCAGGTACAAGGTTCATGGACGGCACGTTTGTCTCAAGGTGGATTCATGCATGGTCAGTCCTCGGGGTGGGGGGGTGGATTTTCAAGCTTTGGAACAGCAGGCACTGGAGAAAGGACTGCGTTTGCGGTTGAGGGGTGGCATGGCGAGACAATTGCGATGCAGTTCGGTGATAAGGCCGTTGCTTCTTCGACACCTCGGTCAGGGGGGGCTGCAGGCAATGTGACGGGCAAAAGGACAGCGGACGATGCTGTCAGCGAAGGTTCGGTCATGCGGCCCGGTGTCGGTCCATCGACGGAGGGTATGGCGTCGGGGCAAAGGACGCAGCGTCCGAAGAGGGCGCCGAGGGTGGAGGGGGGGAAGAAGAACAACCCATGGACCTTGGAGGAGCAGATAGCGTTGGCGAGGATAAGCGTGGAAGAAAATGCCCTCATGGCCGACGCCAACGGCGTGCATAAGCAAAAGACGCGTGCTAAAAGATACGAATGGATTGCAAATCGATTGAAGGATGAGGGGTACAACAGGACAGCGGAGGACTGCAGGAAGAAGTGGACGAAACTAAAGGAGATCGTTAGCCATATCGGGGATAAGTGCTACATGTTTGGGGAGGCAGGGTACTTCAACATGACCACAGAGCAGCGAATGGACAAGGACGTCTGCACAACGTTCGAGGAGCCTCTTTGGGATGCGATGGAGTGGTGGCGATTGAAGAAGGCGTACACGTGCGACACCACTCTCGCTTAAGAGGACCTGGCAGGTGGCCAATCGGGGGAAGCTGGCAGAGAGAGCAGATCCAAGCAAGCTGGCGGAGGAAGCGGATCGGGCCGCAGCGGTGGCGGTAGTGATGGGGATGAAGGTGGAGGGGGCAACTTATCGGGGCAGGGCCAGGGTGGGACCGGACCGGGGCTTGGTGGTGGAGGGAGCCGATCGGGCGAGATCGGTGGAGGGACCGGAACCGAGGAAGGAAGTGTAGGAGGCGGTTCGACGAGGGGTAGGGGTGTCGCATCCGATGGCGGTGGCACGGACGCTTCGGACAGGAGTGGCAGGTCGCGCATGACATCGTCGGGGAGGGTGCGTGGCGACGCACTTCGGCGAGGACAGCCATGGAGGACTCAGCCAGAACTCTTAAAAAAGGTCTCGACAAGGCTTCCGGGACACTGGCTCGTGCTACATGCGAGGGAGCGGCTATGATGTCCGCGAAGATCAGTGACGTCGCAATCCAGATCGGAGCTGTCGCGGGTGCCATGCACAAGGGGAACGCTGTTCTGCAAAGCCTCGTAGCAGTCATGGTTGCCAGATCGTCAAACTCCACACACGGCAGAGGAGAGAATGACCTGTCATAAAAGTGACTGGTCGATGTGGACAGGTGTCAGGCTGTGTCAGACTTGGAAGATGGGGCCGACGAGGTGTCCATTATTTTAGGCTCGCACATGTGTTTTATCACTTTTCGTTTGCGTTGTTTTTTTTTTTTTTTTTTTGCGAGTTTGTTTCCTTTCTTATTTTTGTTTTATAGTGATTTTTTGTTCTTCGTGTGGTTGTGATCCGAACGCCCGTGCAATTCCTGTCGGCCGTAGTAGTCGGTGTCTCATGATGGCCATCCCCTGGTCACTATAAATTGTCGTTCTCCCTCTCCTATGTCCATCGTCAGAAACACTTCGGTAATTCTGAAATGTGCGTTGCCTGCGTTGGTGGATGTGCGGAAGAGAGGGACGACCACTTTGAGGTCGTGTCTTGTGTGGCATGTGGTGGGGGAAAGGCGCGACAGTTTGGATGGTGGGTGTCGGATTCAACGGCACGGTAGGAGAGACACCGCTTGGCATAGACAGATCGATAGATAGATAGATAGATAGATAGATAGATAGATAGATAGATAGATAGATAGATTGATAGATAGATAGATAGATAGATAGATAGATTGATAGATAGATAGATAGATAGATAGTTAGATAGATAGATAGAGAGAGAGAGAGAGAGGTAGAGAGAGAGAGAGAGAGAGAGAGAGAGAG